AATTAGACTTTCTGTGGCATTTGTCCTCAGGTACAGATGTGCGTTCTTGTTTCCCTCTCTGCCAAACTTCAAGAGGAGGTCTAACCCCCTCCATGATCATGTGTGCTGACTGGTCACCTAGAGTCTCCTGAGAAGAAATGCCACTCACTCTACAATGTGACTATTTGTATCCGCACCACCTTGACTGCTTGTTCAAATAGTGTGGCCCATGCCTGATTAATTGATTCAAAACTGTAACCTGTGGTGTTGCTATGTCACAAGATGGTCTAACCTGACCAGAGAGCTCTATCTCCCCTAGATGATTTGTAGATGCTGGGTCTCTCCTATGAGCCCCCGACTCATTGTGCCCTACTGACAGGGCTGGCACACCTGCCCCGGCCTGCTGGCTGGACGAAGCCTGTTTGCCCAGCTTCATTTCACCTCACTCTGTGCTGCAATGTGCTTTCGCTTTGACATGCTGCAGATTGAGAGGCAAGGCAGGGGAACAGGGCTACCAGGACCCACATGTTTCCTTTGCTCTTCCTGGTCATTTCTCATCTGTGTCCTGTCCGGTGGCACTGGTGGCCCCTGCCCAAAGGACTCCATCATGATGGGGACACTGTGGGGACCCCGTCTGGGTCTCTGCTTCTTTGCTCCCTCGAGACGTGGCTGTGTAGCAAGCAACCTAACAGAATATTTGAGAGTGAACAAGAACCCTTCCCCGAGTGCTCACAGGACAGCAGAATGTGTATATTTTATTCCTTATCAAGTCTCTGGCTACAGGAACAGCTGTCAGTGACAGGCGCTCTTCTCCTCTGGTGGCTCCAAACTCACATCTTCAGGAAGGCTGTTGGCCAGGGCTCAGGCTTCCCATCCCTTAGCCACTGATAACCCCAAGTGTGCATCGTCAGACTTCCTAAGAGGCAGCAGTAGGTCCTTCACTTGCAATAGGTGCAGTTGACATATGCAGAATTCTTTACAGGACAGACAGACAGACAGAGTTCCCAGAGCCCTACCTCCTCTCCTCTGCCAGTCTGCTAGCTCTGCTCTTGTGAGCATTCTGAATATTTACTACTGTGCTACTTTTTCCCATTCAGTGACACTTCTGTTCCAGTGAAACTTTTTCAGAAGTCATTCTTCCAAGGCCTGGGGATTTAGCTCAGTGGTTCAGCCACCTGCCTCACAAGCGCAAGGTCCCAAGTTCAATCCCTGGTACCCTCCAAAAAAGAAATCATTCTGGTGATATTTTAAATAAATGAGAGCTTCATCATAGACATCTGTATTGTTTAGGATCGTTTTAAACCTCAAAAGTCATTTTTCTTTCTCTGTGAACTTTTTCATGTTTAGAGGCAGTAACGAGAACAAGCAATGCATTCCTGTTCTTCCCCAGTTCCAATCCAGGTAGTGAGAAAGAGTAAGATTTCCAGGGGCAGAGGGTGGCCAAAGACGACACACGTCATGGTTGCCTCAACAGTGTTCTCTGAACACCGATAAGGTAAAATGTGGTTGAAATAATATCCTCCAAAAACTCAAACACAGGAGGAGGACTGTCCCATTGTGTCATTAAAAATTTACACCTGTCCATGATTTAACAGTCCAGCTTTTCTACCTCCTAAGCCCCCAGAATGCTAATAATCTTCTCAAAACACAGCTTTCTGCTTAAATCCATACTCATTGTGGAACTGACTCTGGCGCTGTTAGGCCTGGATTGACCTGGGGAACCAGTAATGGTAGCGTCTCAGAAAGTGAGCTGAAGAAGATGTTCATTGTCACAGGGGAGCTCTGGCTTTTTATTGGCAAGAAATTGAAGGCAGGGAAAAGAAATCTTCCACTATCCATGTCGATCTGAGACAAAACTCTGTCCCCTCTGCTGAACCCGGCTGGGCAGCATTTAGGATACACGTGTTCTTCATGTGCTGGATGTTGGAAACAGACATCCACCTACTCACAAACCTCCCTTTACAAAAATATCTGTTTATAAATCTGAGTGACCGAGGACCCCATGTTGGTTCCCACTCTGCAGTGAGTTTCCCTCTTATATTTACCTTTTAAGGTTGCATAGGATGGTTGTAATGTAAAGTAAGTGCATACATCTTTTTAGGACAAAGTTTTGCTGGTAGATGCATGAAAATGTTTCACATAATACTAACTACAAAAAGGAAAGAATAACAAATTCTAGAAATTTCTATTCATTCTTCATCTACACTTAATAGAAGATAGATTCTCAGTACACATGCTTGCTCTAGTTCTTCTTTCAAGAAACAAGTTTTTTCCCAGTTACCTCATATGTTTAAAATACCTCCTGTTTGTTTGGGGTTTTTGTCTTGCTTTGTTTTGTTTGTGGTACTGGGAATGGAACTCAGGGGTGCTCTACCACTGAGTCACATTCACAGCCCCTTTTATTTTGAGGCAGAATCTTGCTAAATTTCCCAGGCCAGCCTTGAACTTGAGATCCTCCTACCTATGCCCCCAGAGTCACTGAGATGACAGACAAGTGTCACCATGCCCTACAGACCCGAGCTTTCACAGTCTGAGAAGAAACTGTGTTTGGCAGTAAGTGACCGATGGTGGGGTTTCCGTAAGGAACTGAGCTCTCCGGCAGATGGGAGAGAGGGAACGGGGACCAGGTGCTGCCGGAGGCTGAGGAAATGCCCGGGCTGCCCAGACAGGCGGCAGGGGCATCTGCAGGAGGGACAGGCACAGCCTGTCTTCCGGAAGCTCTGTCACCTGCACCTCCATGATCACCTGCTGCAGGCCAACTCCTCATCCTCTCCCAGACTCACCCAGGCTGCTCCACCCAGAGCCCTGGTGAGAGCTCAAGAGTGAGCAGGGGCGACCTTGTGACTGCTTATTCTCGTCACTGGGGACGCCGTGTATTGGCGTAACAGTCACGGTATTTGACACAGACTGAGCACGTCTTGTCCCCAGAAAGTATTCCAATAAAATAGAGTATAAAGTGATTTATAGCAAATTAACACCCCCAAAAAGCTGGAAAAATAATTCCATTTCCAAGCATGCTACAGCTTCGAATTTCAGCAGAATTCTTCAGTCTTTCCAGCAAATGTGCTTTTGAGTGGAATAGTTTGTCTTTGGATTCAAGTCATTTCCCATATTAGTGGTGCCAGATGACAGCTCTTTAGTCTTTCAGACATCCTCAGTTATATCTTAATGTCGGCGAGAATGAAGCACACACAGAGGCTGTGTGGCATTAAAACTACACAAGCGTTGTCTTCGCTCAAAACTTTTAGGACTGGCCAGTATAAACAATAAAGCACCACTACCTTAAAAAAAATTCTTCTCATATCCTGAAATATACTCCCATACCATATGTCCTTCAATAAATTTTATCTTAGAAAAAATGGAAGATACAAATGTAAAACACAAAATGTAAGACACAAATGTGAGGCTCAAAAATGTAAAAGGACTTAAAGAAGAAAACTAACTTTCAACCAAAAATCTTATTTCATTTGAAAAATTTTCTCAGATGCATCATGCTTTAGGAAATATGAGCCTCTGGGCAGGGGTAGAAAGCAGCCCTTTCTCTAGAGAGCATTGATCAAATTAGATGCTTAATAAACAATTGATGATTTCGTTTTACTTGACTTGGCGAGCTTTTGAAAATTAAAAAGATGTTTTATGTGTTTATCCCAGATATGACCTTGACATTAGAGGCACGAAAACCAAGATGGACATCCATGATTACCCCTGGGTTGCATCTCCCAGTCCCTGTGCAGCCTGTTTCCTCACCAGCTCCTACAGAGCTGTTCAAGGAAGGAGAGACCAACCAGGCTGAAATGCTCTGGGGCTCCTTTCAACCCTCTGCTTCTGTCTCTTTGCTTTCCTCTAGAGAAACCAGTTATAGAGAGGACCAGCTCCAAAGAAAGACCAGTTACAGAGGGGCACCAGTTCCAGAGAGGGACCAGTTACAGAACAGGACTAATTACAGAAAGGTCTAGTTATGGAGAGAGACTAGTTAAAGAGAGGGCTATTATGCACAGACTAGTTTTAGACAGGGTAGTTACAGAGAGTGACTAGTTATAGAGAAGGGGCGGCAGCCATGCTCTGAGGACCCAGAAACAGCCTGCAGCACCAGACTTGAAGGTCTAAATGGCTTTCCCACTAAGAGCCACCCTGGAATCAGAGCAAAATGACTTCGCCTTTTACAGGCGAGTCCCTTCCACCTCCTCCGTCTATAAACATCTGAGGTTGGACAGAATCTCCCAGGCCTCTTCCAGTTCTCCAAACCCATAATTCAGACTGCCCATAAAAAATAAATGTAACTCTGGGATGTTCATTTTCCAAAGTGAAGTTGTAAAGGGTCTGGACTTTTTCATTAGCAAATGCCGGAATCTATCCAGAACTTTGTGGGTACTCCATGAATATTAAACAATCCATTTTATCTTTCATCTGCAAAATGGGGTGAGTAATGCTGATTTGCCTCCCAGAATTTTGTGTGAGAAATAATAAATGAGAACAAAGCACTTTTCAGATAATGAAGTAATTCGAGTAAGCTGCTTTAATAAGTCTGAATCCTGGATGGATGAGGCAAGAATAAAGTGCCGTTTTCATTATTACATCTATGAAATACAACACTCTTTTCTTTTGTTTAAGAAGAAATGATCATTATCCTCGCTTGTCACCAAAACGTCAGCCTGAGTAATTTCTGTGCAAATGGAAATTCCCTGCGATTTTAACATCTATCGCTTTCAACAAAATGCAGCTTGTATCTGTACCTGATATCACAATGGAATCTTATCTTGATTGAACTAGTGTAATGAGGCATTCCATCCACGTCACACTACTCTGTCCAAAGGAAATGCTTTCTGAAATGACTGATAAACTGCACAAATGAGAAAATTACAAATTTAATAATCCATCTACCCAGAAATAATACAATTCAAGAATTGTTACTAAGGAAAATGATTTGTTGCATTCTAGCTTCCTGCAGCTGTTCGTGATATGCTTGCTTTTTAAATAATGTTTATGTCAAATAAGTAATAGGTTCTATGTTTTTTTTACAGTTTTCCAACAGAAGGCAGCCAGAAGACAATCTGACAGCGACAAGTTCCATGGTCTTCCTAAGAAACCAGGTACCAACACTACTTTTCTTTTATTTCATAATCTTTAAGTAAGATTTAAAGAAATCTTATGAACACTGAAGAAAGTCTTCTGAACAGAAGGTAACATTGTATGTTTGCTTAATTTTACCGTGATGGTAGTGTCTTGCCCAAATAGATTTTTTCCATAATAAGATCAATGCAAGAAAATTGTTTTAATTAACAAAGGCAGGAAATGTCCCTGTCCGAGGCCTGTGGTGCTGTTGTTGATACTATCAGGGTCCCAGGGAGGGCCAGCAAGCAGATTCTGTTAGGTCAGATCCTGTAGGTCAGCTCTGAATGCTGATCACAGATTGCACCTTCTCCCCATAACTCTCTTGCCCTTGGTCCTTGATCTTCACTGTGACAAAGGTGCTAAACATGGCAGCCCCAGAAGCCTCTCACACAGTTGAGACATTTTCTGCCTCCTGTTTTCCCTAAAACACATGTTGTCTTTGGGAAAGAGAGACGTGAGCAGTTTATGTATCAAGATGATTTTTTTTTCTGACAACACAGCCTGATTATCATATATATGCTGGGGTTGGGTGGCTATCCATGATAACCAAGGAGCATGTGCAGTCCCCCCTTTGAGGTAACTGGTCCTAAATCTTGTTGCCTTGAAATCACTTCCCCGGAATTATTGAGAGACCTGAGCATAGAACCAGGTAGCTTTGCACAGCAGCCCCAGCCCGCTCCTGACACCTGCTCACCTCTTAAACACAGGCCCCTGGAGGACCTGCTCAGGGACATGGTGACAGTCCCCCAAGCTGAGGACCTCAGGAGTGACCCTCACCACCACTCTGGGGCACTTCCTGCCTCAGCCTGCTGTAGTCTTGCAATTCAGCTGGTGATGTTTCAATGTATACACGAGGGCGCTGAACCTCTGTTCTCCCATGAGTCTGTGGATGTACTCTTGCACATTTACATGCAAGAACTCTATTTTGCAATATTCCATTTTAAGCAATTTTGTATTGGAGAGAGATAAACAACTTTCAGATCTACTGTTATACTCCCACTGTGCCTTTAGCTCATTCAAGAAATAAATGCAAAATTCCATGTGAGATCATGGTACAATCAGGATCCGAACAGTTCCTAAAGAATTACACAAAGTAGATAAGATCTTCCTCACCCGCACACCTCACAGGGCTTTGTAGAGAATAAAGAGAGGAAATGCTCTGAGCTTTGGGGAGAAAATGTCCCTGAGACATTTTCCTTATAATATCATGTTTTTAATTAAATTCTGTTAGCATTAAGGGGGAAAGAGGAGCTGAAGGAGGGTGACAAGTGTCAGGGGAGGCAGAGAGGCTTCCAGAAGTAATAGCATTGGCTACCCGTGGCTCCCACAGGAAGCAGTGCCAGGGAAGGGAGCCTGAAGACCTGATTAGGCTTCTACACGTATGGAAAATAATAGTTCCCTCTATACACAGATGAAAGGAGAGAGTGGTGAAACAAACAGTTTTACCGGTTTGATACCCATTCATATCTTATTGCAAAATTTCTGCATCCAACTCAACTGTCAGTAGATTTTGAGAACTCATTGGGGACGAGGACAGTCACAGTTTCAATCGCCTCATCTGAAATTTTCTCTCTTCTCCTGCATGATGGAAGGAGAAGGGTTCACGGAAGCCAACTACTTTCTCCCTGGAAGAATAAAAACTTCAGAAGCCCTGAGTTCAGGATTGCCAGGGATTTGCCAGGAAGTTACCATATTGCTAAGCCAGGGAATTTTCCTGAGGAACAGGAAAAAAATTACCTGGCACCGATTTTATGGAAAGTCCACATAATTATTCAACTCAATTTTTACATCTTGAAAAATTATGAGGAAAATGCTAAGGACTGTGGATACCAGACAAAAATTTTCCATCAAAATACTGTTTTAAAATTAATTTTCCCGAGTTGGTTTCTAAAGTTTTAAAAAGTCAGTGTGCTGTCACAAAACAGGCAGCCACAGCACATCTACCCCATTTCCCAAAATCCGGACTCCTGGGGCAGGGGAGGGAGCCAGAGAACAGTGCTTCCTCAGGATGCTGGAGTTCAGCAGGGCTTTACAGCCTGAGGTATGTTAACCATGCTCACAGAGGACTGATTTATAACCCAAGCTACTAAATCCATAATAGCAAAAGATTCCAGTGACTAGAACAGCCATGTTCATTTCGCTCTTTCAAACAATAAAATATCCATAGAATGCAAGTAGCAGTCAGGAGACACTGGGTAAACATGATCAAGTCAAAGAAAGCTAGAGTGCAAGGCCCCTTCCTTCCACAAGGACATAGAACTAGCCTCCAGCTAATTTCCTCCCAGGTGACAGCAGAGAGCAGTGGGGAGGCCAGATTGGCCCTGTGTCCCGCCTGTGATTGTTTCTCCTGGTTCATGCAAAGAGGCCTTTTCTGTCCCCACCAAGATCAGCCTCCTGATATACACTCACGGGACACCACAGTGAGCTCTGGGCTTTCCACAGGATCCCAGTGCACACACGGCCCTCTTGCACTCTTCCACACCTGACTCTGCTGGCAGCCACTGCAAGCCAATCTTCTGTGGTTTTTTTTTTTTTATTATTATTTCTTGCATTAAATCTGTTTCTCAAGACAGTCATGTCATCAAGGAGAAAAAAGAGAACTTGTGTGTAATGATGAGGCCTATGCTAATGTACTCTGTGAGCAGGCACCCATCTCTGTGCCTTGAATTTCCTCCACTTGGACCCTGCTGGCTGTAAGTTTGCCCCTTCCCTGGGATTTGCCGTGTTCCCAGAACTACAAAATCATCACTAGCTGGACTTTGGGGGCAAGAGTGCCTGAGGGAAAGACAGAGCTTTATAAGTTCTCCAAGTGCCCGGGGCCGCCACCGCCATTTGATAAATGCTAAATAATAAAATTGTCTGGAAGCAGAGACCTGGGGAAATGTGCAGGTATTACTCTTCTGAGGGAGAGAGAACACTGATCTCTGAGGTATTTTCATCAGGCTGTTTTCACCAGTCCTGGATATATTAAATAGAAAAGAGAGAAAATTGTCAAAATGTGGTCATTTATACTCCATTAAAGAGTAATGGCCCAAGCTCCCTTTTCCAGTAGAACTTCCATTTCCATTTGTCATATTGCTCACAAAAGTTTCTTTGCTTTTTAATATTTTTTGCTGAAGTTATACCTGGAAAATATTGTATAACAGCTGAGCTCTTGCCTGAAGTGAGGCTGTTAGCAGCCCACAATGTGGCCTCTTGCAAAAAGCATAAGAAAGATAAAATACTTAATAATCATGAAAACAGAGGCTGGAAAATAGGCTTGCTTGAAAATGGAACGAACTCTAATTAATGCTAATTTTGAACAAAGGTGACTGGGACACCCACAAAATCAATCCATGCCTACTCTACTGTCTCAGAGACAAAGCCACCATGGCAAAGCTGCAAGAGCTAAAAGCTTACTGAACTATGGGTCTTGAGCTGTGGACTTGAGCTGTGGACTTGAGCTACTGTCTCTGGGAATCTGTGACCTGAACACAGGACCTAAGACCAAAGGACAAAGCAACACCATACATGTTAGTGCATGGTGATTCTGCAAAGGAGTTCATTTCCAAACAGACCGCAGAAGAGAAGAAACTCATAAAGTGAGAGCTTCAAAACACACTCCTGAGGGAGGAAGGAGGGCCCCACTGTGGAAGCTCTGGGCAATTACACTTCTGTGACCAAATTATTTATGTAGCAAGTGAAGTTGCCAGCCATCTTTCTGAAAAGCACCGTGGTATCAACATAGAGATAATAGAGAATACATAACAGAACTTTTCCACCTCAGTTTATAATTGTTTAAATCTGAAGCTTTTTATAAGTGTTTTAACCTTTTTAGAAAATGTTCTAAGGCAATAACTATAAAAAGTGTGGATTTCTTTGAATGTTCAATCATTTGATGTAAGCTGAAGTTTCCAACTTACTTCAGTACTAGAACCTGCCACCAATATGCCCAAACCAAAAATAAAAATCTAGAAAATTGTGCACTCACACACAAATTAAAACATCAAAAAATGTAGTAGCAGAGAGTCAGGGACCCAGATCTGGATAAAAGGAAAACAAAATCGATTGAGGACATTTTAGAGAAGGGACAGGATGTGACTAAATATGGGACATGAAGAAGAGGGACTGAGTGACGAGAAGAGATGTGGTGAGTGTTCACTAAACACTACAATTCCAATAAGAAATTTAAAAATAAAAACAACCATGTGAATTCTCAAAAACTCTTGAGGCAAAGAGAAAATTAACTGCAATTATCTGCGTAGAAAATAGCTGCACAACCCACCTCTACAAAAAGAGCAAACTTCATATTCTTCAAAGTTTTCATTATTAACTAAGAGAAGAAAGGAAACAAAGTAGGCATTATACTCTCAAAAATGAAAACTTAATTACACCAACAAATTACAAGTCATAAAAGTTGAGATTAAAGGTAGAATTCAAAGAGTCAACAGTTATTATGATAGCATGAGAACTGTTGGCTAAATCTGAAAGTATATATTTTAAAAAGTGAATTAGAAAAGTTTATATCAAATCTAAGAGAAAACAATCAATAAGAAAATCAGTCATTCATTAAAAAAAGGAAGGAAAAAATCAGTTCTAAGATGATAGAAACATAACCGAGAGTTTTTCTCTTATATATACACATGACTCTTTTAAGGTAAATATTAATAAATTTTATCATGATAAAATAAAATTTTAAACAACAGACTAATAACTAGGGAATATTTGTGATATTTTAATAATGGATAGGCAGATACAAATTTTAATCAGTGAGTTATTTCAAATTCAAAAGGGAATATTTATATATGAACCATTTGATGTGGAAATATTCATGTATTATATACTACTTTATTCCAAAACTGCAATGAACTTAGCTGATGATAAAGACAGTCATTATTCAACTATTTGTGATTTTTTAAAGTCTTAGAAATTGAAAACAGGGTAATTTTTCAAAATGTTCAAGAATGAATTATTTGTATAAGAGTAGAGTCATTCCTGT